TCACTCTTACGCCACCACTACCATCCTTCTTCCTCCTCCTCCTTCATCCGTTTCGCTAACTGGTAATTCATTCCCTACTTCCAACCCATCCTTTCCCTGCTCATGATATAACCTGAAATATGATTAAATTTTAGATCTCAAGCTTAGGATTTAAGAATTTAGGAAGTAATTCTTTCATTATATTAATTTGAATTCTAATTTATAAGTTTTATTTTCCTGTTAGCTACAGTTTCCACAATCCCGAAAATTTAAGTTTTATTGCAATTAATTACTAATTCCACTCGTTTGTTTGTTTTCCAGTGATCCTCCCTTCTATTGGCGCATGTGAAAATATACAATCTTCGGGAAAATAATAGCAAATCTGTGAAGTAGCAAAACAATCTTGCTGATTATGTATTTGCGGGATCATTGCAATTTTACATACTATTGTTAATGAAGTGGTGCTCATAAAGCTTACAAGATTATAGTGATCGGAATAGTGATGGTGATAGTGAGACTGACAGTAATGATAAGAATGATGGTCACAGCGACAGAACAGAAACAATGATAACGATGGTGTTGATGACAACATCGAAATAATGGTAATGTCCGTCCATAATGATAACAATACCAAAGATTCGAGTAGTAATTCAGAGGGTGAGAAATGTCACGTGACTGAGTCATATAGGCTAAGCTGTCCGATAACTGCGTACTGCTGCAGCTTTGAGGAGTGGTTAAAGCAGTCCGAGCAGCAACTATCGGTTCCCTTGTTCATCACTGCTGCAAGCTGAGAATGAAGAAGGAAAAGGAGGTAAGCCCGATAATGGCTTTCAATGTCCCGGATGAATCGCTGAAACAGACCATCACCACTTTCCCAAACAGCAGCACTAGAGCTGTCTCACTGTTCTGTGTACGTACTGTTATTGGCTCTGCGCGTGTTTCTAATCTGTGTGGTGTGAGTTGCAGCATTTCTACTCTCAGTCAACTCGAACGAATCCTTACAATTTCCAGTATGGTAGCTTTAGCTCAGTATTCTATCATTCATTTATTCCCTGTTTACCTTCACTCATCTTGATCACTGCGCCATTCCAGTCAGTCTCTCATCCAACTTTCCCTCTTATTGAAGCTGCTTGCTATGCTGTTGTCCTTCAGCACTAAATGCGTTTGTCCAAAATTTCCTCTTTCGAAGAATATAAGTAATTGCAAAGCTTGTCATCAGAAGACATTGTAAAAAAGGCAACGAGTTCGTTTTTATGTTTAGGTAGTGATGCAGAAGGTGTTCCATACAGGTTCCTCTCCTCCACTTTACCTATTGCTAGTTGAGATCTCGGTACTGCTACCACGATTGTGTACTTCTTTATGAAACACCTCCCACTTTTTCTTTTCTAATGGACAGGAACTCGAGAATGTTGTGAAGTGTATACTTGTTTATGTGGTTATGCACATGTTACAAATGGGAAGGATACGAAATGCAGCATGATTACTGCTTACTACTTTGATGAAATGAAGATTAGGAGGGGGAGAAAGTAATCTAGATATGATGGAAGCAGTACTGGATGAATGCATATGAACCGTTTTGAAAAGCAGCAGGGAACACAATTGTAGAATTTATTGAAAGGAGTAAAGGAAGATTTGATCTCCACTTTCCCATTCTCCCACGACGTTTCATCCCGGATCGTTTTGGATAATCTTGATTGGGGAGGGGCGCCAAGGTCATTTCATGGACGTTCAAGGATGCGATGCCTTCCACTCCTATTTGCGCACTTCATCCATCCGATCATCGATGATTTTCACTTGGACATAATCTACCTGTTCCTCCCCCTTTCTTTTCTCATTTTCCGTACACACACACACACACACACACACACACACACACACACACACACACACACACACACACACACACACACACACACACACACACACACACACACACACACACACACACACACACACACACACAACACACACACACACACACACACACACACACACACACACACACACACACACACACACACACACACACACACACACACACACACACACACATATATATATACACACACACACACACACACACACACACATATATATATATATATATATATATATATATATATATACTCATATACATAACGCATTACCACCACAACGCGTTTCCTGTTTTTTTTCTTAACAAATTTTCCTTTTAATCTCTGACCAATTTTATCCACATTTTTCAAAATACATTTCATTGTCTCCACAGAAAATCGAAATAGTTCTCGAAATTCCTGTAATCTTCACGGGCAGACTATTTGAGTAAAGTCCGGCTTCCATTGAAAAAACTTTTTGCATTGTCCATCTCATCGGCAAGCAACTTAGTGTTTTCTTGATCCCGACATGTTTTAAATTTCCCGATACCTTTTTCTTTCATGGCAATGTTGTTGGCATTTATATTTTGGCTGTGTAAATTTACAGTAAAATTTATTTCCTTAGTCAATCAACATAAAAAATACGAGTTAAGAATACAAATCATTTCTCATCCAACTCATCATTCGAGTTTTTACATTCTTCGAATAACCTAAGCTATCTTATCCAAATGTCTTATATATTGGCATCACGTTGTGTTTCAACCTTCCTCCCGTCATGATTTCTTTCCTAATTTATCTGTTTTTATTTATGAATATGAATTTGGTTGGTCGTTATCCCCAACTTTTTAGATTTTTGAAATTCTTGAATCACTGTGTAACAAAACGGTATGTTCATTTGTTGTCTAAGTTTATTCATATATCTTTCATTATTCTAGAGGTTATTGTATAGGATTTGGTCACACATAGATAGCAATCACGACACATACGGCCAGGTCGATTCTTATCTTCTCGGTCTTTAGGTGACTAGAAGTGAGCGACAAGATTAGCCAAGTGAAGGTACAAGTGTATAAATCGTGGAAGTCACTAATCGTCCTTCTTTTTGATACATTTCAGCTACAGATACATGAAGTAAGTTCTGGGATTTTGTTACAACTCGTGTTTTAAGTTTGAATTTGAATCTTTCCCCAAACCATTATCATTATCATTCAACGTCAGTCATCAATAAATTCCTCTTTATTTCCTGTGTAGATGATCCACAAAATTCTTACATATCTCTATTTCCTTCACGCTGTCCAATCTTCGACACTTTGGATGTCAGTGATAGATTTCTCTCTTTTCTGTCTGAGGGGTTCCATTTTTTCAATAGCTCCGTTTCGGTCTGTTTAATCTCGATGTTAATGTCTGTACTTTTAGGCTACTACTGACAGTCACCCGTCATGAGCTCTTCACTTCCCCTAACTAAAATTTTTTATTTCTAATGGACCGCATGGCTGTGGAATTGGTTTGAGTGAAGGAAAAGCTTCAAATTTCATCATAGATATAGAATGTCTAGTCGAGTGCATAGTTAATGGCAATTAAGCCTGCATAGTTGCCTTGTACTGGAACCAAATTTTTGTTTTATTGAGCGTATTAGGGAAGTAGCACGGATAAGTTAACTCGGATTCTTGCGGTTGTGAAGATGGATAACAGATAAATAGCACCAGTACTAGAAGCGAAAAAGATGGTGTAAAGAAAACTGATTAGTAATAAAGGTGTGGATTACAACTGATCATTTCCTCCAGTTTACTTCCCAAGTGGCGTAACTGGTTGGAGTAAACAAGCAGACGAGTTGCTAAAGGGAGGATCTCACGACGGATCGAAGTGTGGTATGTTGAGAGGAAGGGCATGAAAACACGGGCGGGGACATTGTCTGCCCAGGAAGGTACCCCGGGTGTTGAGCCCGTCGCGCATATAGCTTGTTATCTGTGAACAGAGATCGACGTCCAATTCACCGCCAAACACACTAACACATACACACATCCGGATTACGGTGTTTGCAACCATTTAGACCTGCTTTGAAATCCTCTCTCTTCTTCCATTAACAGCTACACTCCATTCTCCATTCTATCTAATGTATATAATAGTAATAATAATAATAAATAATAATTACTATTATTATTACCAGTTGTTATCATTATTATTATTACCAATTATTGTTTTTTATCATTATTATTATTTTTATCGTTATTATTACTACCAATTATTGTTATACTGATATCACATATATGTATTTATTTTTTGTACACCATATTTACTTGTCTATATTCTCACTATCTTTTGTTTTTAAGAAACTGTTTTCTCTTTTCGAAGACAGTTCTCTATCTGCCGGTTTTTGCTATTCCTCTCCATTGACCATCAACAGAAACACTTCATGCATTAAAGTTTTAGATCTCGATCCTGACAATTTATAAGCACTGTATTTTCTGGATCTTCTTGGTAAGCCATTTAAAGGGTTATCCCGTTGCTTTTTTGAGTATACCGTTGTGACTTCTTGAACAAGATTAATTTGTTTATAACAGAAGAATTTTTCTGCCATCTAATATGGAACATATATTATTGCGCACAGCTTTTTTTTGTGGCTTTCTAATATCTCACATTTCAAATGTCTTCGGATGAGAGAGAATAACAGTAATAGGGGGTTCTTTTAAAACGTAGTCATCGGAATATTTCTCACCATAATAGTTGGTCCCGAGACTTTTTTGTATTTGGTGCAGTAGAGAGCGTTTTTCCAATATCGGTACCAGTTGTTGCTAACTGGGGTGAGATACAGGATACATAACGTTGGATTATTGCTTTCATTTGTAGAGTATTTTACACCGCACTTCATTTATTATTATAGGGTCTGTGGTATTAAATTCTACAGCTGGAAACTTCCTAAGAAAAAAAGTAAAACTTGGGAATAGAGGAAAAGAAGATCAAATGCCATCTGCATGGTAGTAAGTGGAGGTAATTGTTTTTACGGTGATTGTTGCGGATTGTTTGCTTATTCGATGGCGTTTGGTTTGTGTCGTGAGCGATTGCTCTGTCCACAAGGTAGTGTTGTTTGAGTCGAGGTGAATAGCAAGGAAGTTTTGGATTGCAAAAGAATAAAGAGATGAAGAATTGCACTACTATTGGTTATCTGCTTGCTTACTTCCTGCATTGTCCACTGTAACTCGGTTGCTCCAAGACGTAATTCTTTTGTCGCTCAACCTGCAATACCTTAATTGTCTCTTCCTCAGACAATTTTTAACTTCGTGATGTTGTCCGTTTGCTCCAGCCTTCTTTTCTATCTCCCTGAGCGGCATTGTCTTTTAGAATAGAGTTTGAGACGATAGCAAGTGGACCAAGAGAAATGCAAATAAGATAGTCAGTATACCTGTGTCCACAGAAGGAAGATTGAATAGAGTGTAGCACTGAGCAAGGACTTGCAGTCACAAGTACAGGAATCAAGGTCATATTTCTCGACTGGACTTCTGAACAATTTTCCAACATTCGCTAGCATCTCCATTTCTTTCCCAACTCTCATTCTTCCTTGTCTTCCCACATTGATAACGCACTAAATTTGAAGGTATTATTACTCTGTTGCACTGATATAGAACTACCTCAAACAATAACAATGGTATTATTAATGTAGTGTCATTGGACTTTCTGCTGGGAATTGAATTTACTTCAGTTAAAATCTTGTCTGCTTTTGAATAATTTCTAGATCTACATCGACATTCTTCCTTCACGTCTTCTTCCTGGTCTTACCCTTTGTTAGGGTGCCACCATGATCAATTTGCTCTGATTTTCAAAACAGTTCAGATGATGTTCCCAAACAAATAATAAATGTTTAAAGCGAGCGATCCTTTTCCAGTTTATTCTGTTGGAAACGAAAGTGAAACGACATCTAGTATGTTCATATACAAAAGTTTTTTAATCATCAGATGATAAAGAACTTTTTTATTGAATAAAGCGTCAAAACAAAGTGAATTATTTAGGACTATTGTCATAAACAAATATGCATGAAGAACAATGATAGTCGATTAGTACAGCAAATCTCACTTTCCTGAATTATCCTGACACATTCTCGTCGAGAAATTTTGCCTTTCAGTGCAACAATGTTCAGTCTTCTAGCAGTTATTTTTCAGGTCAAATTTAGAGTCCATTTAGGGACCAGATTTTTTCAATTTAACGATGTCTTTTTTTTTCTGGACCTTGAATTAAAAAAAAATATTATTACGAATAAAGAAATATTATGAAAACTCACCTCGCACACATCTCAACTATGCATTTTCTGCTAATGACAATATTTCATTTTATACTTTAGTAACATCTTTGGGCAATAGTACCCATTGAGGAAGTTTTTTCTCTCCACTGAGAAGAGGAAAGACTTCTTTCGTTTACGGAATGTGCAGACCAACTTTCTTATTTATGTGAATGATTTATCCATTTAATCATTGGTTACAAATCTTTTTTTTAGTTGTGAAGAATTCTGTCTTCATTTCTGTTTGCATTTAGATATTGCGTGTTTTGTTTTGAAGCAGAGTTATACATTTTGATTTACTGAATGTAATAGTAAATATACATTTGTAGCTAATTTCGATTCCTTTATTTACCATGTAAATCAATAACTTTATTTACCATATAAAAATACTTTTAATATTATTTATGAAAGCTTATGAAACTGAATGAACTTCAATGCAATGAAACAAATGAAATATATTTTTTAAATACTTGGCAATGTTGTGGGTTATTTTAAATGAGTTACTGCCTAACTTTGGTATTACCTTTTATTGACCATATGCTTATTTTGCAAGATAGTATGAATGTTTCGTGAGCGGTTTATATGCTCGTTGGTTCATTATAGAATGTGATTTGATATCCAAGCGTCAGCCTCATTTCCCGGGCTGAACGCTGGTAAGGTGGCGATATAATTAATAATTATATGCTTTTAAAGTGAAACATAATTGTTGTTGGAATGGATGTATAAGATAATAGGACATGTTTCTTACTGGGTTCATCTTAATTAATATAGCTTCCTTAGTTTTTTATTCTTGTACATGTGTTCATAACCAAGTGCTGACTAACAGTAATTAAATTTATGCTCGGTTGTGGTATTCTCTTGTATATGGAATGCAAATTTCATATTTCTTTTACTGCCACTGCATTATACAAAAGTTGTTGCTATTTTGCTATAGTGAAATAGAAATAGCGATGACCCCTGGGTTGTCAAAATTGTTCGGTTTTCTACTATTGACCTGATTCTCCTGAGTGGTCCAGCAGTTGCAAACGAGTTATTGCTGCGTTAAGAAGGGTGACTCAACATTAATGAAATAGCTGGAAGATAATGCCGCAGAAAATACTAAGAGAGTGGTGGAATAAACAAAGCACGGGTATTATGAAAGAAGTTTCTTAATGCCAGATATCAAATCCTCTCGTCCATTTTGTCTGCCATTCAGGCTATCATTGCTTCAGTGAAGTTCCATACGAAAATAGATGATCTAATTTGCAGATGACGATGGAGGACATGAACGCGTGCACTCAGTGCGGCTTTATGACAAATAATTTTGCTGATTTTAAGGAGCACATTGAGCAGCACGAAAGTGAGCGGCATCTTACTACCACAAATACTAGTCGGCAGGTTTATCTTTTGTTATGCATTTTTTTTAAATAAGGATGTGTAGTGATTCTCTTTTTTGTTAAAGCGTTTTTGTTTACTCTCTGGACATTTCCATGTTCCGTAATTGTGGTAGGGCATGTAGTTGGGTGGAATGAAATGGAAAGTATCTCAAATTCAAATTTTTTAGAATCTTGATCCTTTGTTGAAATACATTTCTCGGGAATAGAAGATTATATCCGATATTCAGCAACTGCATCATGAAGCTCTCGAGTTTACTGGTTATGAAGACTGGCAGTGTTTCTAGTTTGATGGGTTGTTCGATTTGTGGTTTTTTGAACTCTGATGCAAAGCTTTTAAAACATGGGTTGTCTTAACAAAAACTGCTGTAGAAGAGCAGCTAATCATTTGTGTAACTTTTAATCTTTTTGCGTAATTGACGATTTAGCATTAAGAATTGTTGTTTATATCTGTCATTTTCCATCAGAGGGTATTGGATAAGTTTTTTTATGGGTGTATATTTAATAGGCTGGGTCTTGTAAACTTATTCAGGAATGAAATGTGTCTTAACTCAAAAATAATACTTTTTTGAAATTCTTGGTTTTAAAAATCAAAGGAATATAACATACTTGATATTTGGGTGAAGGGAAAAGGAATGAGTATTTTTGAATTAAGGTGAAGATTCGATTGGGGAAATAAATGAAGGGGCCGCTTTGCATATGATCGCGATTTTATGTGATTGTGCGCTGGTTATGAGGATTGGACAACCAGTTAGTTTAGTGCGTGTGTTGTGGGTTGGAACGTGATACGATTTTCAGGAATGGAACGAGGATTTAGACGAGTTGTCATCGACGCCGAACCTGTCATCCCCCGAGCAGTTTTCTCCGGCTGCCGCCTCCTCACCACCAATCTCCGGTAATAATGGCACCTCCAAAGCAAACACCAACAGCAGCAGCAACAGCAAAACTGTGCACGTTTGTCCTCACTGCAATTTTGAAACCTGCATGTCGCAGCATATGAAAAGTCACTTGGTTAGCTTTGATTATTTTCAGGCAAAAACATTTTTTTAATCTTTAAAAGTCCTCCATTTACCTGGAGGAAGAGAGCGATTCCGCTGAAAAGTCTTATGCTACCCTTTCAGCTTTGCGTCACTTTTCTGTACTATCCGACATCAATGTAACGATTCCTTGTTTAATTTAATGTTTGTGGTTTTGATATTTATTATTTTATATGATAATTTTGTCATATTTCTCGCCTAGCGCATATTTTCGAATTTTCAGATTCAATGCAAAAAATTTTCCATATTAAGAATTAGGCTGCATATCGTAGCACTAATATTGTTTTAATTTCTCTTATGAAAAAATATCCAGTTTAAATTCACTAATTTTCAAGAATTGTTTTTTTTTTTTTTTTTCAAGTTCTGTATAAAGTTTGAACTTGTTTGGACTTAGTATTTCATGTCAAATTTGTATGACTATGCAGTAGGTGTATCATGGTGTATTTCGTAACCGCATGCCAAAAAGGTGTTATTTAACTTACCTGCCCGTTAAATTTTAGGTTCGCATCATTTCATCTTGTCGTTTATAATTCTGAAATTTTACAGGATGCACACGAACGCCATCAAGGGCAAATGTATCAGTGTGATATTTGCCATATGCAGTTCAGTCAGAAAGCAAATATGCATCGTCATCGAATGCGGCATACCGGTGTTAAACCATATCAGTGTCGGTACTGCCTAAAAAAATTTTTTCGGAAAGATCAGGTTCGCATGTTGACTTTGCAGAAATACTGTTAAAACATTAAAACGTGGCGTGCATGTATGACTGGAAAAAGATAACACACTGCACAGTTACAACTGTTTTTTATGCCACCGAGGTGGTCAGTTAAACATATTTAGTGGTTTTTCGGCTATGGAACTTTTTTTCTGATATTGTTCAGTAACTTTTATATTTTTTCGAACCACCTATTATATAATTTAGATGCAAGAACACTCGATGACTCATATAAAGACAGGTGCCGATTTTGATTGTCCAGTTGCCCTTTGTGATAAACAGTTCAGTCAACACTCAAGCTTGCGAACACATCTAGACGAAGCGCATTCTATCGCACCTTCAACGCCGGCATCATGTAAACGGTGCTCACTATTATTTGCAAACTCACGGCGACTTCTCTTGCACTACCAAACAAAACATGATGAGGGTGATGTAAGTCTCAAGCTTCAGAAATAAAAAATTCAAGTCTTAAATATTTTCAGAGTAGTCGCCTTTTAGTCTTTCGATTTTTAAGCTCCAAAAAGCTTAGACCTCAACAAATTTTAAGAAAAAAAAGAAAGAAATAGTAAATTTAATGCAAAATGTAGCGGAAATTTTTATGTCAGTAGATTTATATAGCAGTGGAATCTATAGTCCAGTTCTATCGATGAAATGAGCTTAAGTGCTGAGATAATTGGTGGAGTAAAAATTTTCAATCATTCGCGATTTCGCGAAGTCTGTGATATGTACGCTAAGATTTGGAAAAAAAAGTTTCTGAATCTTCATGTAGAAAGCACTGTTAGACAAATCAGTTTTTTGAATTTTTGTGTACAGAGCGGTGAGCAACACAAAGAATCAGTACATTTAAATTTTGTAATTTGAATTGTGCTTTATTTTCTATTTTTCGAGTAAGGAGATTGGGACTGGGGGGCTATGAAAGCATTTATCAGCATATTGATCACAAGTGTTCATTTACATTTCAGACATCAAACGTTGTTGTAACGTCGCCAGTAAAATCCATATCTGAGAATAGTGTAAAGGATATTTATGCGCTTGCGTCACCAGTGTCCAAAAAACAGCGACGAACAAATGCTCAAACTATCGTTGCTGCAATCCAGGAGCAATTGAAATTTATTAAACAAGAGTCCATGAAACCGTCAATTAATGAAGATATGTCTCGATGCATGGATTATGAGCAGGTACAAACATATCCCAAAATAAAAGCCTTTAGGGTTTTTAAGATCGAACTCCTTTTTACTTTTCTTGCCACTGCTTCACGTTTCAGACTGGATATGGTATGATGACAAATGAAGAATGGTTATTGTCTCTATCACATATCAACACTCCAACACTTATTACAGTAATATACATTTTTTAGATTATTAAAAATAAATTGTAATTATAATTATTTTATTTATTCTTATTATTCTAATTTATGGACATCAACCAAAAACAAAAATTAATAGCTATTGTCCCTACTAAATGTCAGCATTCCAACGCTTACATAATGTATATTTCGGGATATAAAGCCGGAAACAGCACTACAACAGTTATGGACACGAACTAGTAATGCTGGTAGTGAGAACACGGAAGATCAGTCTCATTCTCCCTCAGTTGATAGCGGAAGTAGTAGTGCCACCGATGGTGAAGGCGGCGATAAAGAGCAGCAGGTTAATTTTTTGAATTGTATCATTCTTAGTATCATTACAGTGTCCTCGAACTTAGAGCAATCTAATTCTTATTTGATACAACAATTATAGATAGCCTCATTTGCATAAATTTTATTTTCAGGAATGCATGCATTGTGGGATGATTTTTATGGACCAGACATTGTACCTTTTGCATAAAGGGTTGCATTCCGACTCAGATCCTTGGAAATGTAACTTGTGCGGTCATGGTTGTGGCGATAAATATATGTTCACAACACATGTTATCAGTTCCGATCATAGTTGCTAATGTTATCCTTACAAGTTCAAATTCCTTGTTATTTATAAAACTAAGTAACCAAAGACTTATTCATGCCCATGTCATTTGTGGCCTTATTCATGAAATCAGACAACAGTTTATCAAGTTTTTATCAGAAGTAGATTACTAATCTTCCAAAATATTCTCCCATTTTTTCGATAAATTGTCATGCTGAGATTGCTTTTATGGAGATGTGCAGAAAAAATGGAATTTCTTTTTGTCATTGAATTTCTTTTTTAAAATGTAAATTCATAGTTTTTGTTTATTTTCTTTTAAAAACTTTTAAACCTCTAGTGCATTTTCATGCGCAAAACTATCATTCCTAGAAATTTATCTTTTTTCCTTGTTTTCTCCTTTTTGCCTTTAATGTATAATTTAGTTCACATGTGATAATACAAAGCAGTAAATGTTAGCCTCCTGAAATTGCCGATTCTCATAGATTTGTAATTTCATTCGTTGATTATTTATTCACAATTAATAGGCTTTTGTTTATGTATATGTGTGTCTGTGAATAAGAAAGCTGTATCCAATCCAATGTGTCCATGTATATAATATGTTGCTGACTTAACTTTCTTTCCTTGCATTCATTTTCAGAGGATATTTTTACACTTGTAAATTTTATGTTATCGAAGTGCCAGTGTGATTTTTAAAAATTGCGAGATTTTTTTACTTTGGAAAATTTCGCAAATGCGGATTAATAATTTTCAAAGCTATGCTTCTTACTTTTTGTGCATTTTCTTAATAACTTTCATTTTGTAATTAAGAATTGTTTTTTGTTATTTAAAGTGATACTTTTCATGCACTGTTATTATGAAGTTCCAAGAAACTATTTCTGCTGTCTACAGATTAGCTGGTTATTTTATAATGAACCGGCTAAAATTATATTTGAATTTATGTGCTCGAATACTAGGAAGAAACAAGAAAGCAAACAGAAGCTTATATTTTAAAATCATTTGGAATATTACCTATTGATATATGTTGAACTCCTTAGCAAACGCTGAGAAATCTGTGTGTAGTTTGCATATATGTGAGCTGAACAAGTTTGCTTCGGTTTGCATTTATTTCGTTTTTTCTAGGTTGTTACATTTTATAAAGTAATATCTAATTAAATATAATATCCTCAGGTTCCCATTAAAGAACTAGGCGATGCTAAAGTTCATTTCAAGTCTGGTTTTATCCGTAGTTTCATATATGTAGTGGACTATATCTTCACTATCACTTTTCCATATCTTTGGAGGTTTTTCCTTGGGAAGAATGGATTTATTGCTGCTATTAATTAATGTATAATGAAAAAATTAATGTATAATGAAAAACTATGATTTACGTGATGCGAAATTGCATAAAAACGATATCTCCACATATGTTTGTTTTACTCGTTTTGGTTAGATTTATTGCATTGCATCTTTACCCATTCAGTGAAATTTGGTGCTCTTTTTTCGAGTTGTTAGGCTGTAAAATCAAGTCTAATTTTTAAGTAGAATAACAGCAAAGGCCACTGAAGTTTTTAAGCAGGATTAACTAGCCATGTTTGAGCGAATTACTTCCTGTATTTAATTGTATTCTGTCCTACACTGTCAAATTTAGAATTTCTTGGTGATAACTTGTTTTCATGATTGAGGAAGACTGACATCATACATTTTGATCCCAATATCAGAAAACTTTTTTGTTTGTTCAGACTGGAACTTAATTTTATATACAGCATGATAATTGGAAAAGGAAAGGGTGGCAGAGGGGACAGTGCGATAAATTGGAAGAAGCACGTCTGTTCATCTCAGTTATGGCATTGGAGGATGATTGATGCTAGGAGCTGATTGTTTTCCACTCGTGAAAACTTTTCCACTCCCATTAATTCACTAGAACATTCAAACCCAGCAGTTTTTCATGAACTGCAACTACTCTACTGCGGTTACTTTTTGACTAAATTAAATGTATGTTTCACTTTTTAACCAGGACTTATGAATAATACACATTTCAGGTTTCATAATGACGGTTAGTAGTACGGTCATCTCTCGATGATAAAGTAGCAGCTCATTGGAAAATCGCCTTCTGTAAGCTTTATAAAAGTGGTCTTGAATTGTTTCGATAAGTTAATTTATTACTTCGTGTAGTATTGCAGTGGCATGAATACATCACCACTTTCAATCAAATAATGATCTTTTAACAAATAATTCGAAAATTAAGAATGCATCACTCTCCGTGCAGTTCTGAAAAGCATTACTCTATCTATTAATATATATTCCAGTTAAATTGATTCAGCTGTTGTACAACAGCTTAATTTTGACGAAAATATGACCTTACTAAGTCGCCGAAAGCATCGACAGGATAGGATTTTTCTCATTAGTTGAGAGGTCAGATATAAATGTCTTAACAAGGTTTTCAAATAATAGTTGTCTTGTGATGATGCGAAACAGAACCCTCGACAATTGACACTTGAGAAGGCGATGCTTGTTCTTTCTCGTCAACAAATACAACCGTTCTCTTTGTTATTATCTATTTATACTTAAATTAAATTATCTATTTATGCTTAAAATTTGGAAGTCTAATATTATTAATTGGAAGATTCAGACTATAGGAATGCTCATATTACTATATTTCTTCGAAGTAAAAGTCCTGAAATTTTAAAATGTACCTATTATTTAATTTCACTGAACTGTTATAGACAGGAAATAATGTGATGAAATCAATAACAACATTTTTTGTTTAAGAACTCTCCTTATAAATTGTAAAACTTTGTTTAAGAACAATAAATGCTAGATAATAACCCTAAGAAATACGAAACTGTTTGTGCGGTAATTCTGGTACTATAAAGTCAATTGTACTCACTCGTCATATAAAGATACGTTAAAAATCAAGCAGAAATTATGTCATCTCAAATATCTTCTGGAATATCTGCGAAATCCCTGAAAATGCTATGAAAATTGTATGAATTAATTAGTTGTCCCACTCAGAACGCAAAAAAGAAGCAAAGGTTGTGCAGGATGCCTCAGGGTGTGTAGCAGCAGTTGTCGGTCGAGTAAAATATTTCCCATACCATGCACAACTTAAAATTTAAAAATTCCATTAAATTACGTCTGCCACAATTCTTCACTTTAAAATTTTTTTTTCTGACTTCAAGAAAATGATGTTTATTGTTAAAATTGTATATCGCTTATGTGGTCGCCGGAAATAACTGTTTTAGTTTGCTTGCTCCTGTTCTTTGAATCAAGGAATGAGAGAAACTAACAAGTATTCGAATATTCCTTTGTGATTACACATCCTGTGATTGCAGTGATTCCTTCAGTTACTATACCCATGACAGAAATGAAAAGATTTTCCACGATTGTTACCCAAGCATAACAAATTTAAATTTTTTTTTTTTTTTTTTCAGTTACTTTACCAATCTGTCATGTTATTTTGCAACCTAAATTTATTGAATCAGTTTACTTTGAAGCATTTTTAATTTGGATTAATAATTTTTCGTTTATTAAATGATTAGGAAGATAACTGGAACATTTGGATGTAAGATGATGGTTTAACCTTGATAATATAAGCAAGAGCGGAAAATATTCAGTGTTATACTCGACAGATATTAACTATATGATGTTAATAAATTAATGAATGGATGATCTCGCTTTCCTGGTCAAGGTAACCGGAAAGATAGTACCTTTTATTTCTTGAGCAGAGAAACACAGCCATCCGTCGATTCTCATTATCGCATTTCAGTATACCTGTATACACCTCACTTTTAATTATTACTTCACTTGCCAATTATTATTGCTTGCGTATTTGCACATAACTAAAAACATAGCTTTCAAGTGGTGCAGTATTCGTTGTCTATGAAGGAAATTTTTTACAGGGCAAGAAATTTTCTGAAACAAACTATAACTTGAAGAAAGGTTCATTTTAGCGATAGTTTTAGAATTAGACAGTCTTCGTAAGTACAAGACGGTAACTCTCGCAGATTCTCTTGATCTCATCAATTCACACCAGTTCACTACAATTTTGCCTTTGACTGCAATTTTTATAGAAAAATTCAACGAAAGGTAAGTTTCGATTTTTTTCTTCTAGATCCCTTACATTTCTAGCATTTTTGTACTCCTATTTTTCTAATGTGATTATACCTAACAAACTTTTACTTCATTTCTTAAGTTAACAATAGTTTGCAGATTATGTATAATATACACAAATCTTTTCACCGCTTAAAGCTGACGTCGTCGATTATTGAAGCATTTCAGTTATGACAAAAAAATTTCTCCGGTTTCTTACAATTTCTTACATAAAATTTATTTTTCTGCATTCAGATTTGTTTTCTTACATTTGATGAATAAAATAGTTGAATGACAACTGACAGACTAAGTACGAGAATAGACAAACAGCTGAGAAGGAGCACATGAAGATTTGGAGATGGTGAAGATTAACGTATGGAGATACATAGGTATATAATCACTTATATTAACTCTTTTACCCATTCTATCCCACTACTAATTGAAGACTAGTTCTCTTCTTCTATAATTTTTTTACCTACGAAATTTTAAAGTGCCTTTTGTAAAACCAATGGATATTTTAAAAAGGATGTTTTGTAGTTCACTGCTTGACTTTTTCTTTAGGAACTAAACTTCATGTGGGGTTTAAGAAAAAGATTTTTTGACTCTCTAAAATTAGGTAGACCATGAGAATGTTGATCACTGAATACATGATATGTTGAATATAATGATGTTTTGAAGTCTGTTTCAGATATCAAGCCTTTCTGTTTAGTTGGCAGTTCCACTGCCTCATTTTAGCAAACTTCAGCAATAGTTTTTTTCGATTTGCTCAAACTTTCCTGCAAAATATCTAGCCGTTTAACATTAGTTATAATAACTGATGTTGTTGCATTGGCGTGATAGGGTCTTGCTACAACTTTTACCTGCAATATATATGTTATTGTTTATTATAACTTTGGTGTGTTGCTATAATGTATCGATTTAAAATGCATTGCGACTTCATCATTTTGTGCAAATCTCTTACATTACTGTTTCATTCTCAAGTATTCGGAAACATTTCGACCTCACCTTCGTCTGATTCAGAAGAAAAAAAATATATAAAAATGAACTGTCTACCGATTTACAAATTTATAGTCACTTTGCAGGTATGGTCAAGCGAAATATAAGCTTTTTAATTTTTTGTGAGAAGTTGAAATAGCTGATAGTGGTCTGTTTACTTAGATAGGAAACGCTAAACTTCACACTCATGGTTTATCTTATTTAAAATAAGATAAGCATCAACTTATTTTAAAGAAAAATCACTGTTGACTGCTGTCGGAGTTGAGTAATATTTAACTCACCCGTAAACACTGATACGACGAACTTCTTATCATTACCTTGAATCTAGCTGTTTTCCTGTTTTCCATTCATCACTGTTGTTCAACCTATTACCACTTCTTTCGAACTCTTGACCTCTTCACCTTTAAGATTACCATACTTCTCGTTATCATCGTTGGCAGACAGCCATCTCTGCTCAAGTCAGCACCTACTCAGTTCTCGAATAGTGAAACAAGCCTGAATGCCTCCTCCTGACACTTTCATCCGACAACCATATAAATTACCACATACATATATATACATACATGCACAGACACACGACACATACACACACGGACATACATGCACATGAACATATGCATATACACATACGCATACAGACGGACATACATGTTTGATTATTAATTGATCCACTGATTGTAGGTTCATATGGTGCTTGTGCAGCCGCCTCATCCTGATTACGTACCCACCTCTGCATAGCCATTTATCTTTTTCCTAACCCAAGATGACTGCTACGATCGTTCATTGTATTGTTGTGCTTTTTCTGCTTTAGGCTTCTCCCAGAAAAGTTTGTCTTATTTGTCTAATATTCTCAACAATTCCAGTCAGTTAATTTTTCGCTTCTCAAATTATGTCTTCTTCAATTGTTTATCAAACTTATCACAGATTAATTGAAATTTCCATACTGGTGTAAATAATAAGAGTCTTCAAGATTTACTAATGAATGTTCATTTTCCCTGATTACCAATACATTCTGTCTAGGTATGGGATTTTTTTGTGTTCTTTTTTTTTGTTGAAGAAATCATCCAAAGCTGTTTGATTCTAAAGGAATGCGGTAATGTGGTCTACCAAAAGACGATCGATAGTAAATTGAGATGAATGTGGCAGTAATGCTTAAACTGAGAATGCGAGTTTTGATATATATTTTTTTGATATCATTTAATTTACTCATTTATGTTCGTCTGTTTATATTTCACTAAATGTTTCACTTAGCTGATCTTTTACGCCCTTCCTTGCTCTGCTTTTCGTCATTTGCATTTCCAACAAAGCCGATATTGCCTGATAAATGCACATTTGGAAAATGAGATATACCATTCACGTCTTTGATGTGAATGCACAGTTGCTGACAAGTTATCCACTAAACCATCGATTCAGTAATCTGTAATAAAGCCTTTTGCTTTTGTCTATAGATTTGTTATGACCATACATTAATACTTTTACTATACTTCATCTCAACAAAGTTCAAGAATCTAAACGAATTTTGAAATTTCGATTCCAAATCAACAGTATATCTTCAATCTCAGTCTAAGTCGGATTTCTATATCCTTAATCTAAAGTAGTCAAATTTCTAGTATGTACGAAATCCATTGTACAAACTAGGTGAAGTAGGAAAGGGCAATGAAATTTAGGATTTTCATAAAAGATTCCGGAAATTTTGACCAACGAATTCATCCAACAATATCTTATTAATTTATATGGAAAAAATTTCAATGAAGTGAAGATAAATGGATACAATGTTTTTGAATGAAAAGAAAGATGTATGAAATATGGATATCAGTAAATCATCGAAATTGGGATTGGAATGGAAGTAGTAAATCTCCACTAAGCTATCACTGAACTGTTAACTAGTCGAAGATTAAGAAAACTTTCTTTATTGATATTTCAAGTTGAAAATAGTGTGAAAATGGAACTAAAGTGGAAAGGAAAGAAGAGGAAAGTGGTAAGATGGGAAGAAGGAAGAGTAGAGAGAGTTGATCGGAGCCCAATATATACAGGATGATGCTTGGAAATGATAGATTGAGCTGACATTGGGATTGACATCACAGATGGTGCATATGTTCCCCAACGGTCCATCAACGGAGAGCCTTAAGAAGCTCAAAATTTCCAGATTTTCCTCCTCTTTTTCCTCACCCTTCCTCTTTCTTCTTCTCTCTCTCTCCCTCTCTCTTTTTACTTCTAAATAACTATTTCACATTCACTTCCAACAGTGTATATTTTTCAGCAGGTCTCATTTTTGAAAATATGCAAATTCTCAGTATTTTTTCCTTTTCCCTCTCCCATATTGCGACAAAAAATAGGATTTGCACAACCAAATCAAATCGTGAAACTTCACAATTTCTGAGCCGGGAGACAGCAAGGTATTTTTCTCACGAATAAACCTATTGAAAGAAACTAGCCAACATAAGAGGAAATTGAAAATGAAATAAAAACAAATACTCTGCTCTTCTGAGAAACAACTGGGTGGGAAAGCCTTTTTAGCAATGCTAGGGTCCTGAATCTGAATTGGTAGTAGGACTTGGAGATGATGAAGTGCTGTCACAAACCTTTCCGTATCGCTGTTATCATCATGATCATCTATAATTGTTATTTCCATTATTATTTCATTTACAAAATACATATGTAAATAAGTTCATTCATTTTCTTATTAGCTATTCTTTATTTATTCCGTGTTTTGCACGTGAAGACAGTCACGTTATGAAAACTGCTGACCTGTTACTTGGAATTGTTTTACACAAAAATTTCATACAATGAGAGTGCATTATTGCGGTCACTGTAGCATTGCTTGTCTTTTACATTTCAGTGGTAACTTATATGTTCCCCTTTTAATCATGATTTATTAGTCCAAGTACAAAATCGAGCTTAGAATCTCCACCAATAAATCTTTACTGGTTATTACCATAAAGATAATAAGCTTCCTGCATAGCAACAACTTTTCAAATAACACTTGTATGTAACTATATATTTTATTGAAGGTCTCAGAATGGCACTAATTTGTGGAGAAATTCAAGCAGTTCAAACGGCTGTTTTGATGTTATGTGCATATTCTGACCTATAGGAGCAGAAAAGTGTGCTTGTAATGTTAAGCGAGTTTGGCATTCTTTGGCTTCCAACGGCATAAAATAGACGTGAAGCAAATGTGCTAGATAGACACATCAATTTATGCCTATTCATTCATTCATCATTTACCTGCAAACTAATCGCAGTTATGTAAGTTCACTTCTGAATTGTTTTACTGGATTAATTTTATCTTTATCCGGAGTCGCACAAAAAAAAAATATACATATGAGCTGCAAAAGGAACTACTACTACTACTCAATATCAGGCAGCAGCAGCAGTTGTCAATTACGAAAGTGCCAACTGCACTAGCTAAAATTTGAAAATTTTTTGCATCTCTTTTTACTCTTTAACATTAACATTAATTTCTTAGCTATAGTTCTCAAAATCCAACAATATTAGCTCACATTGCTTAAATTAATTGGTGAAATCTTAATGATATAAGGAAAGAAAAGTGGATATGGGCCACTTAGAATAGCACCTCTAATAGTAGTATTTATATTTTTTCGAAAGGAAAATTCATAAAAATCACAAAAAACAGAAAACGCTAGTGAATAGATTAAATTAAATACCCATTTCTTGTGGAAGTTATTGAGTAATTTCCGCTATACCAACAGAAAAACCACGTGCTAATAAATTTGCAAATGCAGCACCATTACTTATACCATCAATAAAATTATTCATCAAATTACCAAACATTATCATCCAGGTCACTGTTACCATATCAAATTCTGATGTATTCTGTATTTATATTTCCTTCTTAATATCCATATGAATAATGTTTCACTGAAGTTTTTTACCCCTCGCCCCTAGCAGCCATCATGTATTTAGTTCATAATCGGAATATCGTTTTGTTTCAATTCAACTTCCCTCATCTTAAACTGTTGTGAATTGTATGTATCCGAAATATTTTATTGGCATCTACAGTATAGAATTTCATACTGCTCAAATTTTCTTTTAATTTATAAGAATTTTAGATTCCAACATTTCTAATACAATTAATCATATGCTTTACTTATCGCAGCAGTTACAGCACTCAAGAGAGTCGCCAGCATATTCATTACTTATAAATTCACTTTCATCAGCTATGATTTCTGAAATAGTATCAGTTCTATCGTCGTCATCATTAACATTGTTATCGTTGTCGGAATCACTAGTATCATCAACATTATCCCGAATAATGACTATTATTTGGATGATCCGTGCAACATTCATTCTGCTTATTTCCTACTCTGTTTTAATTAGTCCAGGTCAAGCTGTACTATCATATGAGCCACAAATAAGTAAGTTCTCAACACTGTATACTTCGCGGTTAATTTGAAAACAAATTGTCATATAAGTTTTCTTGCTTTTTCACGTTAACAGAATTTCTGCTTTGATAGAAATTTTATGTAATTCGCATATTTGAGGTTATTTCGACGGTGCGAGCTACTTAGACAACTGTAAGTCGAAATTGGAACGTCGTATAACTGCTCTGTCCGGTTTACTGATATCACATCAATTATATGGAAGCTTTCCATACAATGCGTCCAAGAATTGTTTTCTGCTGATAACGGCACCATCTGGTTATCGTATACGCTTACGTGTGCTTGATTTCAATGTACTCGGTGATGCCCACAATTGTGATAAGGATACGCTCCATGTTTTCGATGTTTGTTTTATATTACAGCAATTTTTCTACCAAATTTTTGCATTTTACTTTCTAATAAGCTTGGGATTTAGTATTTCACTTGTTTAAAATTAGAATTAAAATTGCTTGTCTAACCTATTTTTTTATATTTCCAGTCATAAAACAAGCTTATACGAAAATTGATTTCATTAATTTATCTTTTTTACATGTAGTTGAATGAATTGTTATAACCACTTAAGTTTAAACTGTCTGGGGACATTTTTGACGTTATATTTCTTCATTTCAAATCTGTATGCTTTGAAACCAGTATCTAAATAAAATGATTTAAAAATTTCAAGAAAATTTTTTTTTTTGCAATTTTGAAAAACAAAAGAAGCTTTAGCATGAAAAACCAATTGATTCGCAAACTTTACGAGACACGACCCACGAAGATACTTCGCCAGGACCCATTCTTGGTCAATTTTGCGGTACTATCCGAAATGCTAGTGAGTTGGCTGTTTCAACCGAGAACGCATTAACGCTATGGTGGCATACAGATGCCGAATTACCATTTCATCATAATGGTGAAGGATTTCGGTTACTTTGGTCCGCATTTCGGAAATCCAACATCGGTTAGTTCTATTTTGCAACCCTTTGTTAAATTCTTATAAATTTGTGATATTTTTTCTTCTAACTTTATTTAACTTCTTGCTTTCCTAATGTATTAGTACTTGTTATAACGGGAGCTATTCTTTTGCATATCTGTCTGCTAAAAATTTGACATGATTATTCAAATCAGATATTGCTTATGATTAAATCTTAAAATATTAGCACTAGAGACCTCTTTCAAATATAGGATACTTGTGTACATTCGAAGAAACCCATTATATCAATGTACCATCAGTTTTGGTAATCATTTTAGCACCATGCAATATCCAACGGGAATTCACATGCAAAAATCAAGAATGTATTGCTGCAGAACTTGCATGCAATCGATATCCAGACTGCAAGGATGAATCCGATTTAATACGTGAACTGCA